TAAATTCCTGATTTTCGAACAAGTCGATAATACGAATATTCGAAAACTTTATTTTCCGAATTATTCGAAAATTCGAATTATCGAAACTTATCTTTTTCGAATAACTCGAAAATTCGAATATTCGAAAAAGCATTATTTTCGAATTATTCGAAAATTCGAATATTCAAAACTTATTTTCGAAGTATTCGATTATTCGAATATTCGAAATTTCTTCTCAAATTCCCAATGTATACTGTACAGCATGTAAGAGAAAAAGACGTTTTCCACACTGGATCACATCTACCACGTCGGATGCCATAAAGATCAGTGTCAGGTTGCACAGGACGCCATGGATTTCGGACCAAAAGGACACGTCAACGATTCAACATGGAGATTGTCTCATGCTCTGCACCCAGCGCCAGGACAGCCTCCACCAACGCCGATCTTCACGCCCTTCTCGAAGCTGCAGGGTGCCAACTACCACTATTCGCCTTGCAGGAAGCAAAGTACAGAAGACAAATGAGGCAGCTGAGTGATGGCACACTCATCATTCGTGGTAAAAAATTTCCATCATGATACGTTGAAGGCGTTAGATTTGTCGTACCCCATATGTTGTCCATCTTGTCGATTCGCATGAGATCATATCACCTTCTGGCTATCCTTTGAATCCATTCTCTGCATCAGAACCATGCTATCATCAACTGCTATTCTCCAACATCAGCAGCTGATGATTCGGAACTTGATGCGTTTTATGAGGGTTTAGAGGAAGTCATCTGCAAGGAAAACTCCTTCTATAAGTTCGTCGTGAGTGACTTTAATGCGAAAATCGGGATGCCAGAAGAAGTGGAGCACAGCGGGAGATGTGGATCAGGACTCCGGAATGAGAACGGTAACCGTTTTGTTGGGCTCTTATCTCTGCACGACTTTTCCATGGCAACTCCATTTTCATGGAAAGAACACTGACGGTGGACTTGGAAGTCAAAACCGTACGACCCATGCGGAGATCGACCACATTCTCAGCAACCGAAGGTGGTACTTACTAGACGTCTCATTGATGCCATTTTTCAGTAGTGGCTCAGATCACCGCCTCCTTCGAGCGAAAGTGCGAATCAGCCAAAAGCTGGCGAAGAAGATCTCGCGCCGTGTTAGAGGAAGGAAAGAAGTCGTATATGACGGCGTCAGATTGGAGGAGCTCCTAACTACTTATGACTGTCCCATCGAGGAAGACTAGACGAAAGACTACGACCTGCTTCTAGAGGACTGAGAGCCTGTGGTGAAAGTGCCTCAATGCCTCGAACAAGGAACTTGGGACGAATTTCGAAAGCCACCAAGGATCTGCTAGAGAGAAGAAGAGCACTGTGGCACAACTGCATCACATCTCAAGCGACTAGTAGCCAATACCACTTGCAGAACAGCTTTGCAAGAGATCTTCGAAAGAAACTTTTGGAAGCAGCACAAGAAAGGAGAAGCCTAAAGAAGTACCGCAGGACCTTCTCGACTATCGCGTTCCGCTGACAACTACTAAACGAAGACGGGACTCGCACATCCTCCCGA